ACCTAGTGTGGTCTAGTTATCAACCACCTAATTGTAAGGGGTGTGTCCGATTTGATTTGAAAAGTGTCCGATTTGGTTTGAAAAGTGTCCGATTTGGTTTGAAAAGTGTCCGATTTGGTTTGAAAAGTGTCCGATTTAAAGTGAAAATGGTATATATCATTTCGGGCAGGCATTTCGTCCTGACATAGATCTGTTTTTCGCCGTCAAAGGCACTACCTGATATTGCGGGGTAGGCAGAGCTAACTGCTCCTTTGCTCCTCTGCCCGTCTTCTACATCGCCATGCAAGGCGATAACAGGTGGGGCGAGCTGATGGCGTCATTTCCTGGCTCTGCCCACGCGACAATCAGCAGCTGCCCTAAAGGTTAAAGTACGAAAGCCGGCTTAGGATCTAATGGTAGCACACTAGCCCTCCATGCGTGAGTTCCAAATTGGAGTCCTGGGTGATGTCAGTACTTCGCTAGTATCTCAACATCCGGCAAAATTCAGATCGCTAGCTGTAGAAAAGCACCAGATATTATAAAGAAACATTAAGCCATAACTCCCACGATGGTCTTAACACATTTGCCTCTGACTGCAAAGCTGAGACAGCACCCCACTGTATGTCATACTGTCCGATGTCGTTTTCCAGCTGTGGACGAAACGTCTCACTGTCAGCGCTCGCCATGAACCGTCGTCGTTTGCGACATCGGGTTACATTGAAACTAGTGGTGAAGTGTACGGGTTATGTGTAAACATTGATGATCAGGTACCAGTAACAACTGGTTTTTGGATTCGGCCTCGTTCATTACACAAAAAAGTTTTGTAGAACAAAAATCAAATTGTTTGCGGTGCTTGTTCAGGTGGCTGGTACATCTGATAGTGGAGTTGTTTACCTTCGCGACGGCGTTTCTTCAACTGAACCAACTGGAACGCGTTTTGTACGGATCGTAGAGAGAGCCACGTCAGAAAGCCAAAAATGGACCATGGTCAGTTTTTTGCGCAGTTTACTTACTTGTTTAAAATTTTTCCTCAAGGTTAGACTACCATAGTGTTAGCGGGGGTTTTTCAAGGTTGTTAACAGCGGCGCTCGCTACGCTAACTTACCCAAGCATTGGATTAACGATCATGTAGTCGTGGATTCTACTGCGAACTTCCGCTATACCAGCTGGCGAAAGCAGGTGAGATCTTTTCGATATCTCTTTCACCGTTCTCGTTGTTCTTGTATTTTGACGCCTTTCAGATTTTGAAAGATCTTTGCTCTGTTAATGAAGCTAATTGGGAAGCGCTACGATCCACTGGCAACGATCTGGAGGTTTCATTAATCCTTGCTGAAGATTCTTCATAAATAAATGATACCCGCTCATTCAGGAGCTGGTAGAAGAGGCGCAAGAAGCGGATTCATGGAGTCGGAAGTACCCGGCAAAAATGAGAAGACAGGGAGTACAGCGATTCCAGAGTGGTGTCGTATTTCTGAGCTCTCATCAACTGATGTTCCAGCCTACTACAGGGAACACTGTTGTAAAATCTTTATCAGAGGTGTGGTGTTGTGCATTTCGTTGATTTCTTGTTCATGGAGAGCTCTTAGGCGTGTGGTCATATCAAACCCTTTTTCCGAGGATGAATGGCTGGTGGTTGATGTGACTGATGATAGATATTCTCTCGAAGGTAAAAGCGCCACCCCTGCCCCCCCCATTCCCCCTGTTCTAACGACGAGCAAATACAACCCCTCCCTCTTGTGGCCTCCGTGAAGCGAGAAAAAACAACTATCGAAAAAAAGATTCTCACAAGGGAGGTCGTTCAGGCCGTGGTGAGCTTTTTCAAAACGGTTTGTTGCATGTTGTAGGGGTCCATGCGAGGACCATAGCGATGGGGTTCATTTTTGCTAAACGGTTCTGGGAATGTCAAAAAAAGGTCAAAACAATTCGAAAAGAATGGGCTTTTTAAACCACCTTATTCGCCTCTGTTCTAGCTGTAGCGTTGACAGGGTATAGTATGTAGGGTATCCTTTGAGCAGGCATGAAAAACAGCGCAAAATAAGGTCAAAATCCAAATGGTCTACTTGGCATGCGGTGAGCTGCATTGGAGTTTTCCGGTCATCTGCGCATATCTCTTCAACAGGTCCTGTATCTCTAGTGTCGCAGTGGCAGATGGTGTGGTGGATAGTGCGACGGGCTCTCGGTCGGTGGGTTTATGGATCGGATCCCCTTGCCGACACAGTTTTTGCATTTTTCACATTTCTTGCTTCTTGTATTCCTGTATGCCCCATAATGTGTATGACCCGGATATACGCCATTTGAAGGCACATTCCATGCGGGAACGGTTCACAAATAGGCCTCACTCAATTATTACGCTCGCGAAATACTATCGAAAATCTCTTCATGAACTTGGTGTTAGCGGTTATCCGATGCTCTCTGATTCATGAACACGACACTCATTTTTGAATATGGCGCAATGTGTCGCTAATTTGGTGCAAAGGCTTTCTCGTACTACCATCATTGTCAGTCTGCGCGGCGGGGCTATTTAGCGCCATACTGGCCCCAGATGGCCTCCGCAAAAATAAGTATCTGAACCGTGATCAGGACCATCGAATTTACCCCTGCGTATAGAGTTACGCCGAGAAAATTTTCACGAGCTTTTGTGTTATGTTGCCGGCCATGTCTCCAGCTAGTGGCTATCAGCCCCCCCCCTTCCCCCAAGGAGTCGTTATCCAACATCGTTAAGGGGAAGCTTTTCATTTGCTAGTATGCAGACGCAGAATTAGGAACTACACAAAAAACGTGACGCACCATACAATCCACTGCGCACCCTCTCATACGCTTTGATATGAGAACAAAACTTTTTCCGGGCAAGTGCGACGAGTTTTTCTCGAAATTGTCGAAGACGGTGAAAGTGAGAAGTTTCAGCGATGCTGCGTTTAAGTGGCTCGAAGCTATTACTGGCTGGAGGCAATGGAAGAGCATATACAATGGGACGCCAGAAGAGTCCCGGATGCTTGGGTATACGCGTGCTCTGGGACGTTCTATGAAGACCTACTGAAGTTTAGGGGCAAAAAATTGAAAAATTCTTGGGCCCGGGGGGGGGCGGTTCGTCTGCCAGAGAGGATACTTAACGGAGGGTTCGCCTGTCACTGCCATCCAAATGGTCAGGTCCATGACCACTGAAGAAACTCGAAAAAAAAAAATTTTTCGCGCTGAAACCTCTTAAACAGGGGTAATCAATGGCCCTGATCACGATTCTGACAATTATTTATGGCGCCGACGTGATCTGGGGCCAGCGTGGCGCTAAAAGGCCACTGCGAGCGCGAAGGGATGCTGCATAAGCCCCTAAGAAGCTGCAGTGTACCTCACTGTATGCCAAGTAAGGCACTTGTATTTCGACTTCATTTAATGTTCTTTTTCATGTCTAGTTGAGAACACTTTATTATTCTGCTTTACAGCTGAAACAGATGCGAATGAGATGATAAAACTTGCGTATTTTAAGCGATTTGTTTTTATTCCTTTTTTGACATTCCCAAGTTTAGCAAAAATGAAACCCATCTGTGTGGTCCTTGTATGGACCCCTACAACATGCAACAAATCGTTTTGAAAAAGCTCACCACGGCCTGAACGACCTCCCTTGTCAGATCCAATGCGACCTCCCCTCCTCGAGTACAAAATACGACGCGCTGCCCCGCAGAGGACTCCTTAAAATACGACGTGGTCCGATGATCATTTTGGGTTGAGTAGCTTTCGTCAGCGAGAATTTTTTTTTCTCGCTGACGATGGTATGCATACACATATCACGGTATTCCAGATGATTTCTGCTATTTGTAACATCGACGCAACCGCATCTGTATTCACGATTCTGCTCAGATTCGTATCGCCAAGTATTTCTGAAGAACTAGAAATCGGTTTCTCAGAAGAGTCGGAACGCGATGATTGGCACGAGTTACTGCAACAGGTAGAGGTTATCTACAGTTGATTAACTAGAAAACATTTCATGTAATTGTAAAGATAAGTGATCCTCCTACGTATAATCGCGCTAAGTGTGCTGTCCAGTCTTGTGTGTGTTTGTCTGTTTTGTGATGTGCGTCTGTTCTCTGTCACGACATTCATAGTGAGGCGTCGCAGAAAAGATCAGTGATCATACACCAGCGGGACGGGAACACTCTGGTGGGTGAGCAGGAGGTGGATAACACTTGGTAAGATTTCGATAAGGCGGCCTTAGAAAGGGGATGATGACCGAGTTGAAGTGCGTACAGTATAGTGCGGGCCACATCAACAATGGGACGTTTGATCCAAGGTTTGATATGAGGTGTTGGACAGGAACATTATTGGTGGGTGGCAGGGAGTGATATCCAGCCGAAGGATCTGAAAAAGAGACGTCTGAGGGGGGGGGTGACGCGGTCGAGTGGCCGTACAGTATCGGTGGCAGGTCACATCAAACAATGGTATGTTCGTTCCCAAGGTATGATATAGGGCGTGGGCAGGGACATTATTGATGGGTGGCAGGGAGTGACATCAGCTGATAAGATTCGATAGGGGGAGTTAGAACGGTAAGGTCACCACACTCATAACGCGATACACAGCATCAGCTAGGCGTTGATTTCAGAAAATGATATAGAATGGTAAGGGACATCGAAGGCAGGTGACAGGAGGTGATAACAGCTGATAGGGGCTGATAAGGGACGTTGCCGTTGTTGTACAGTCAAAGTACTGGAGTCTTTACACTACCAAATTATAGAATTTAGTGATAGGGACATTGATGACGGGTGACAGGCAATCTTAACAATTGATAAGAAAGGATTAAGGGGTCATTCTCACCACATCTCTTATCACTATACTGCCAAGTATTGGAGGGTTAGTGTGCAAACTTTTCTTTCAGCCATCTTGCTCTGATAACACTAGAAAATGAAGTCATCCCACTGTCCTACTATATAATGTCGATGTCGACGAGTGGGGAGGGGCATATGAGTTCGCCTGAAACAAGAAACTCAGGTGTCGCGGAACAACCTGGCAGGCCGCGCGCGGCGGCGCCCCCCGGCGGCCCGCCGGCGCGCCGCCCCCCCCGCGCGCCGCGCGCCCGCGGCGGCCGCCGCGGGCCCCCGCGGCCCGCGCGGCGCCGCGGCGGGCCCCCGCCGCGGGCCGCCCCGCGCCCCCCCGCGCGGGCGGCCCGCCCCGGCGCCCCGCGGCGGCCGCGACGGCGGCGCCCGCCCCCCGCCCGGCCCGCGCCCCGCCCCCGCGCCCCGCCGCGCCCGCGCGCCGCCCGCCCCGGCCGCCCGGGCGGGGCGCGCCCGCCCCCGCCGCGCCGCGCCCCCCGGCGCGCCCGCCCCCGCCCCCGCCGGCGGCCCACGCCGCGCCCCCCGCCCCCCGGCGCCCTGGCACCCTACTGACGCGATCGACATCGGTGGTAACCGCGGCTCCCGCGTCCCATCGCTCTACCACACCCTTCCTGCGCACCCGCACAGGAAGGGTGGACCTAACCCCCCGGGGACCATGGGGTTTATCTACGGCGGGCACCTTACCGACCCCCAACCGTCCACGGCGTCTCCACCGTACCGTGCCGCACGAGACCGCCGTCCCTTAAGCATACCACGACCTCCACCGTACCGCGCCGCACGAGGCCGTGGCCCTACCCCCGTATGTCTACCACCATGGTACCACCATGGTAACAACACCAACATAGCAATACAAGTAAGAACAGGAAACATCCATGGTAAATACGCATTATGATAACAAACAAAACGCTAAAAATAATCACACAATTTGTATTAAGAACTGGCTCACCGTATACACAGGATTGTTCTCCCCTGGCCGCCGTTCTCCATGGGTTTCGTTCCATAGCCGACCACGCATTAGGCCCCCATGGCCGTTGCCCCTCTGAGTACGCATTAGGCCCGTAGGCTACATCCCCTCATACGTATTAGGCCCCCATCCTGCCGGCGGTAACCCTCATCGCTCCATGCGGTCGTCGATGTCCTTGTCGGGGCTGGAGCAGAGGCTGCTCCCAGTCGGGGAGCAGGGGATGAACATCGGCCGGCTCATGGCCGGCGCTCGAGCTGCCCCCGGCTTCGGAGTGGGCTTCACCCCTCCGCCTTGGGCCCTGTCCTGGCGTTACCCGGTGAAAACCAACCGGCGCCGGCTGCCAGCCACTGGACGTACTACACTGGCTACGACCGCAGGGGGCGGAACCACGGCGCACGTGAAGCGCACGCCGTGGGAACCGAGCGCGGATGGGCCGGGGCGCGAGGTGCGCCCAACGGCGACCGTCGCATCCGCGACACCAGGGAGAACAGAAAACCTGAATAATGCGGCGCTTCATGCATTCAACAGCTTTTTTACTTTTGACCATTCAACTACTGAGGAGAACGAATAACAAGGAATTACAGTACCTACTAATAATTACACTACAGCGAGCGGATTGCATGCTAATTGAAAAGGGAAACATTCATGGGTAGGCATTTCGGTGCAGGTGATGGAAACAAAATCTGTTCTTTTGCATATTGCGCTGTATTGGCCGACTACGCATTGTATGCTGAGTAGTGGAGGATCCTAAGCCTTGCTCTATCTGTTACGATTTGA